CGGATGGTTTTCTTCGGGACACGCGTCAAGAATTATATTCGCCCCGCAGACGAGAATTGAGTTATACGATGTCACCGAGATTAACTGTCCTCGACTTCCAACGCGTGGGTTTTGACAAACGCGTCCGGAACGATCGCGCGAAAACGAAAACCGAAAACGAAACATAAAAAAAAAAGAGCAACAGAGAATAGAATCCACCTTGTCCTAGGTTATGTTTCACAGTGACATAGTGGCGGCAATGGAGGCTTCGCCTATCGTAACACGATATCCGTTGGAAACGTCGAATTTGAAGCATTCCTCGTCGCGCTTTCGTCCCGGAAATCACCGGCCGCCCAAATTTCATGGCAGCACCTTTTTCTGGTTGAATGATCACCGGGATAAAAAAAAAAACTCTTTTACCCGACGAATTGTATCTTTCTGTTTTCTATCGCTGTTGCCCCCGAACATCCTCGTTTCGCAAATTATCGAAAAGTCATTTGTCTGTTTCCTTGATTTCGAAACATTTGAAAATTATATTTATTGCAGATTTGTACGATACTTTACGTTACAGTTTTCCTAATTATATTGTATTTACAAATATTTCGTACGTTTAAAATTAATATCGTGTTAAATACACCATGGAGTTTTCTAATATATTCCGTTTATACAGAATTAAAGGAAGTAATAACTATTTACAGGTTTGATAATGTAGGTGAGAGTAATATTTTGATTAGTAACATTATGGAATATAGCTGCAGTGAGAGTGGAAAGATTATTACTAATTCTATCTATCTATCCACAATTTTGTTTCAATAATCATTTATCCCACATTTTTCCGTTTGTTTACTAATATTTTGAATCTCGTTTTTGAATAATTCTTGGTCAATATAAAAAGAATTTAATTTGGCATTCTTTAAATTATTTTCCAGTGAGATAATTTTGGAAATTCCAGGATAAGTACCAATTCATTTGTACCATCTGATTTAATTAATTTTCTCTGTTATTCTGATTGTCTAACGTCTTCATTACACACTTGTGGAAGTGTTGTATATAACAGACCATTAGAAAAATGAGTGGAATACAAGTTTTCAGTGAATACACCTAATTTTATAACTATTTTCTTGGGCCAGAAAAGTTAGCAAACAATTCCTGTAATTTCAGATGAGAACATTAATTTTCTGGAAGCCCAAATTTTTTATAAAAAACAAATGGAAACTTGTGGAAGAGTGGAATCATGAAGTTGCCAAGGGGATGGTGAAATACGTTGTTTAATATAATTTCTACTTATTACCGATTACTCTTTCTTACTGAAAATTCTAGTATTACACAACATACTTAACGAGTAGCCATCTCAGTGAAATTTTAAGCTGGATGGAATCTTTACCCAATTAACTTCCTACCTAAAACGTATAATAATCGAAATTTTCCAATATATTAGTACACTTTACTCATTTTTATTAGGTAATTCAATGGTATACCTGTTATTTTCAGCATTTTCAATGTTATTTATAATTTTACGAGTACGAAATATCTTCCATCGCGATTTTCCAGCCCGTTGTTAGTGACCGGTACGCGTAGTCGACGCGTTAACAGTGAACTAGGAATAAATGGGAAAATGAAAGGATCACGGAAGTGGATAAAGCGTAGGTCCCGATGGAATCAGCTTGAAAAGTGGATGAGAAACACTGTCGTTCCGCTGGCCTATCGGTACTAATACAGATCTCACGCACTCCCCTCGATATAAACCATTCTCTACCCTTGTGTTCGCCGTATGGGAACCCATACGCGCGCACGCACGAACCTCGAACGACCGCGGCGGAACGGCCATTCAGATTTAAATCGCGACAGGAAAAAAAAAATATGGATTCCCCTTGCAGCGGCACGGAGCGGCACGGCGCGGCGTTTCAATCTCTTTCACGGTATTCCTTCGCTCTAACGCGCTGCAAGACAGATCTGAATCTGTCGTTTACAGGGGCACGCTCAAAGTGCTCTCGTTTCTTTCCACGCGCCGATCCCGCGACCGAAATCACGACAAACAGTGTAGTTTACACGACGGAATCAAATTGGTTCGTTAATTCGTGGAAACAACTTGGAAAAATTCGCTAAAAAATATTATTAGGTCATCCTAATCATCCTGTACAACTTCAAAATAATATTTAAAACGTGTCACGAGATTTTATGAAGAATAAAATAAACTATTCATTTTATTGGCTAAATTCATTGCTAGAAAAATTGTTCGATTTTTCATTAAGATATTATTCAACGCTGTTCCTTAGGACGTTGATATTTTCAAGTTGTTTACCTACTAATAAGCCTGATAATTGTTGTATAAACTCAAACGTAACGAAAATTAGTCTGTAACACAGTAAATTTTTCGCGTATTCTATGAATCATTAACATCGTTAATTAAGCTTCGTGAAAAAAAATTTCACTTTATTTCTTTTGACTTATTTTTTCATGTAGATTCGCAGTGTGAATTCCATATGTGTTTAAAATTTTAGAAATCCCCGGAACCGACATATTTTTATTTTGTATAGAACCGCCTTTATTTACCAAAAAAATTCTACCTTTGGAAAAGATACTTTCGCTAAAGTGTTGCTGCTAATATTTTCCATTAGTTGGAGAAGCATGGACGGAGAAGTTCCGGTTTATCGTACGAAACGTTTTTAGATCGGCCAATAATCATTTTATGCACGCCTTTTACTACAAACTTTTGGTCCCGGCCAGTATAAATACAAACATGGCAAGCTGAATCGAAATGTAAATTGTTTATAACGTTTCGTACTAAATATAATATACAAGTGCAGAACGGAAGTTTGTTTCGATAATTTTGGATCTAGTTACGCGTGTCAAGTATCGTGTTAAAGATACAAACAATATAACGCGTAATAGCCAGTGAAGTTATGGGAATTGCAAACTATAGCGAAAAATTCGTGAATTTAATTTTTATCTTCCATTTTACATCAATTATAATTTTTCTGCTTTTCTAATATATATTTGTCGACTACTATAAATTAGATATCTCTGTAAATAATCACAATTTCATGTACGCCAAGAAAGTTATCTGAAACTTAATCATTGTTTCACGAATATTAGGAGCTGCACTTTTGTACCTTTTTTTATTTTAATTTCTTGATATATGTATTTACATCGAGGTGTAAATGAAGTAATAAAACTCTATGAAAACGATCAATAGAATTTTCTAAATATAGTCGGGATTTCACAAAGCAGATTAGTAATATTAGAATGTTCGAAAGCTTTTAAATGGTTTATGTTATTAGGTCGTTTTAAATGTAATCCACTCACCCTAATAGTCGATTTCAGATTTTCCCTGGGCTCCTTCCACCTGTCCAATCCAGTGTTTGCCACTTTTCCATGTTTTCTTCGTAAAATAGTTCGAAGTTTCCATTCGACAGACGATCACTAGTGTTTACTTCAACTCCGTTTATACGTCTTCTCAAAGAAATTTCACTTTCACTTTGTAAATTTTCACGAAGAATCAAATTCACCTCCCACGACAAAATAATTAAAGAAAGCTTCAAAATTAATTACAAAGAAATAGAAAGGTTTGGGGGATCGGTGCTAAAAGTACAAACTGTAGTTTTCATAACTGCTTTCGGTAATATTTTAGTCTGGTTAAAGTATTGTGTTGGTTGGGATAGGAGTTTGTTCGTTCGAGCGTTTCGAACACCCTTCGTTTTACGCGTCGTCTGTGTAACAAAAGGAAATGGCGGAAAACTGATGGCTGAGGCCCCTTTTGAAAAGGTCAAGGATGATTTACGTTTTAATTGGCGCAGGTATCCAGGTAGATACTGTGCTGAAAGCGCTCGGCCTGTAGAATTACCTGGAATTATTCATTTGTAACAGTAGACTGGAATTATTTTTGAAAAAACACCGACGTTCAACCATCGATCGAAGAAGGTAATGAAAAAGACGATCGCGTGTCGAACGGTTTTGCGTGGAAAAATTGTACCTGCGCCTTAAACCTTTCACAGAACACGTAAATATTATTCATTAGTAATTTTTGTTGAACTTTAAGAAAGAAATATGTGGAATTAATGTCCGTAAATGAATGAATCACTATTGAATTTGATGGAAGTTTACAGCAAACAACACTGCTTTTCGAAAATAATTTCACCGTTATTTTTTTAGAAAAAAAAACTATATCGTTCGAAATAACTGTTGTAAAATATTTCTGGTAGGAAGGTACTTCAAATTTTTCAAGGATTAAAAAATGTCAGGTTGAAACTAGAGTTGAGCAAATTTTAAAGTAATTCGCAAATTGACTTCCGTTCAACTTTCGTGGATAAATAAATTACCGAATTTCGTAAATCGGCATTCACGGATAGCCCCCGATAGAAAGCTTAAAATTTGCCCAACGCTGGATGAAATAACGAATCGGTCAGGATTTAAATTTTCGCATCGACGTAGATTTTATTCCTCTCGCTGCGTCTCTCTATAATACCATCTGTTTACATTAAATTAGATCTCTGGCTTATAAATAATATCAATATCTCTGTCTTTTGGTCTCTCTCGCTCAAGCACACACCCAACCGCGCGACACACTCGCTCCTACACGCACGAATATACATATAATATCTCTGTCTCTCTACATTATTGTCCACGAACTATCTACACGTATATACAAAAAAACCGTCCTATGTACAATGATCGTATCTCGCGAATCGTACACGCGATCCAGCGATCGAAAGTGACCAGCCTCCGATCGACGAGCAGCCCCCGATCGTCGTCAAGAGTCCACGGTACGATCGCCGTAACGTGGTTGCCGAAATATGTGTATCCATCCCTCCTTCGCCTTCGTAAAACCGAAAGCGTCGCCTCGAACGACGAAAATAAACAACGAGGAAACGAAAGGTACTGCCTGGTCGCGAGCAAACGATCAAACGGTCGAAAAAAGACGTATGCCACCGACGACGACGTCTAAATAATCACTAGCCTTCCAGCGGGGAGAGTTCTGTTTTCTCCATGTTTCACCGAGTCTCCAGCTCGTTTCTCGTACCCTAGTAAGGCCTCCAGAATTTTTTCGTCGGCTGCGGCGAGATCATGGTCGTGGGCGCCTTCAGCTTGTTCCTCGGGCTCTCCGTGGTCTTCTTGGGGGTGGTTTTCTCGGGCGTCGACGCGGTGGCGGCGATCACCGACGACGCGGGCGGAAGCGTGTTCAATCTGATAGGGACGAACGCGCTGCGAACTTCCTCCGCGGCGGACTCGCTGCCGGAGTCGCTGGGACTTCTCGGTGGCGTCCTGGACGGGCTGTTCGGTATGGCCGCCGGCGTCGTGGCGGTGGTGGTGGCTTCCGGCGGCAGAGTGGTGTACTCTGTCGGGTATTTCACGTTCGCGAACGGGTACGTGGGAAGAACCATCGGCGGGAACGTCGGCGAGAACAGATCCGTCGGTGGCATCGGGTTCGTTCCTGAACAGAGAGAGAGAGAACGCGTTGATTAGAGACGCCGGTGGTTCCAGAGACGACGTTCACGGAGAGGTGGAGGATGGGTGGAGAGCTCGTGGCCGAAGGGAGCCAAGTCGTATTGTTGTTGCGTAGTTGACGGGGTGGCTAGGATATATCTGGGGGTCGAAGGGGTCCGTTGTGGGAAAAGGGAGCTTACCCCTCGGTCCAGCCACGGGGTATGAATCATCGCCAGGCGTCGCGGACTCCGGCGAAATCGATAACGCGGACTCTCTCGTGAACGCGTGTCCTCTTTCGAGCCTTTTTTTCTATTGCTGGAACTTCGACTGACGGGGGCCCGGCATGATATTCCTGTTACCGAGCGTGCATTGTTGGACTTTTGATTGATTGCTAGCGGGGACGTGGACCGAGGGGGCCGATGGGTACCGATTAGGAGCACTTTTTGGCTCGCCGTTTCTGATTATCTCGGCCTCGGGACCGACGAACCGGAGCAAAGATCTCGAGAGCCGCGCGAAACAAAACGATAACGAACCATTGGGTACGCGTACACTGTCGATCGTGAGACGATTGATGTCCAAGGTCTCTGACAACGTCATTGTGCCAGTTGCGGTTGCATAAACAAATCCTAACTTGCATTCTATAGCCTCGTGCGTTTATTCTAAACGTGCAAACCTTCAGTATGAACTTCTGATGTGGAAAAACTGCAAATTTTTATTGGCAAATTTTGAGTAAAAAAATTGATCCACGTTCTCGAGCATTGTCGTATATTATGTAATATTATCTCTTCATTGGTGTGATATAATTTATTTTAATGAAAAGAGGGAAGAAAGAGCAGTTGAAGTTTACCTTGACGATTTCAACCCCTTAACGCCACAGTTTACCGGTTTAGATTTGTTTCTAAGGCGCGTAACAATGTGTTTCGTTGTTATTTACGATGCTGTAATTTTTTAACGTGAAATTTTTAACATGTTGTTTCTAAAAGCACATCTATTTTTACATTTAGGGGTTAATAAAGTAGCACACAACTATACGGAAGAATACGCGTGAACTGTAGTTGGAACATTTCTACCGCAAGTTTCCTTGCATACACAGGAAACAAACGGAAAATTTGTTCTCTTTAGAAACGAAAATATACAAACGTTAATGGCTCGATATAAAAATTTATTTGTTATTGCTTCAAAGTTTGGCAAGCTGACAAAAGATCGTGTCGCTGCTTTTGTGGAGAATATAATAATATTGTGAGAATAACAAATTTCTAACATTATAGAAGGGGGAGAACAGTCATTGTTTACTATTGTACAGCCAAGTTAAGAATTTTATTAAAAACTTAGAAACTGCAATATTACTAATAGACTCTGACGCATTTAAAATACATTCATTGATAAATTATCATCGTCATTTTTTAATACAATGATCCCAATAAAACAGCATTAATAAAATGTTCATAATGTGAAAAATATTTGTGCTTTTTTCGTTTTTATGAGGCTTATATCACATTGTCATGCTTCCTTATAAACTATATGTAAAATAAATAAATAAAATATAAACGCAAATCATCGCGTAAAAGAATCTTCAAGAAAATTCGAGAGAGGAATGTGAAAGTAGAAGGTTCAACCTTTAAAACGATTTTAGAAAAACTATTGTGTGACTTTTTTCACCAAGTTACAATGGTCAAAATATTGTCAACGTTTAGGCAATGTCTTCTAATACTTATGACCTGCAGGGTACGTTTATTAATCAATTTTAATACGTTTTAATGTCAACGTCTATAATGACTATTGATTCGAATGTGCAGAAAGAAGATAAAATTGTGAGAATAAATATTCCATTGACATATTAATAGTTCTGACTCGAGATGAGAATCTCCGTTTCGATTTTTAGTTACGAACGACAGACCCATTCTTTTTTTAAAAGAACTATTTAATTACCTTCTTTGAGCTTGTATTAATACTTCGGTTTCGAGTTTCTTTGCGTTGACCCCAGTTTAAGGTAAATTGTCAGATTGAGGGGATCGATTCGTTCAAGATATTCCTACTTCGAGAGAATATTAATACATGACCTTTTGCAATTATCGATATTCGCCAAAGTTCTTGCATACCAAGACTCTACTAGTTAGACAACAACACAATCATTTTCTAGATTTTCTGCAATTATCAGGAATTCACAACTATGTAGATAGTCGCCATTACTGTTGATGAATTTAAATGAGATTCTTCGAAATCTTCGATATAAGCAACATTAGTTCTCCCAATTAAATAGCTTTTAATTCACCTAACAGTTTAACGCTAAAACTAATTTTAAACAGTTGTTCAAGTCTTAAGAGCAATGTTTAGCACGTTGACCAAATTTGTAAAACTTTCCACGAGGTTAACATTTTGTTTTTAGACAAACGGATACTACTTAATTTAAAATTTGTCTGAATAAATATTTTCGCAATCTTGTTGAAACTATACATACTTGTACACAAAGTTTCATACTTTTTTCAATTTCATGGATCCCAACCCTTCTTTGTTAATATAAACGATAACAGGGAGAGTTGCTAGAACACTACAATTCGTTCTATAGCGACGAAGGTTTGCACGCGAATCTCGAATGTTGGCTCGCGTAATAAATAAAAAATTCTTCACAAGCGCTAAAATTTTAGAGACGATTTCTATATCGAAACAGACATCAGTCCGCAAGTTTTAATTATGGATAGTTCAAATATCGAAAAAGAATTTGAATACTTGTGACCGACAGCGTAGATCTATGATCGTGGATCATTGGTTCGTTATCGATATATCGTTCTACTTGGTTAAAACGTAGAAGGTGTCTTACCTTTGAAAGCCGGGTGGGACAAGTGCCACGCGTGTCCCAGATACGCGACATCCATCCAGGGGTTGAGTAATCCCAGTCCAGGGAAACCAGGCCCGTACTGATAGTCTGCAAAGAGGCAAGGATCGTTCGTTTAGCGGGGATTGGAAGGTCTTGGTGCCGGAAATAGCCGCGAAAACCGAAATCGAGCGGCTCCATAAATAAATCTCGCGATCTCAAGGTTTTCGCGGGAACCTTGGCGAACTTTTCCCCTACCCCCCCGCCCACCCCCCTCGTTCCCCCCCGTCGATACGTTCAGCGTTCCGATTCGGAGTCGCGGCCCTCGGGAACCGGTCAATAAAAACGAATTAAACCGTCGGTAGGAACGATGGATCCAGACAGTCACGAACACGCCTAACGAACTGACAAAGAGTAGCGGATGGCGGAGATAAAAAGACGACTGCCGGCCCGGCCGGGATCCCATAAAACGCGGATTAACGACGCTCTCCGTAGGCGAGCTAACGATCCCTGTTTACACCAATGCCGCGCGTTACGCTCGTTCCGTACGATTTTCGTTGCCGTGCCACATGCTACCGCCATATGCGGCGCGATAAACAAACGCGTAAACGCGGCTCCTTTGCAGACGACGTTGATGGCCGGCGTATGCACGGTTCGCTCCTGCCTTACCTCCCGCGGCTTCGTTCGGCTCTTTTGCCCGACCGAGCGCCCTCCAATAAACACACGGACGTTTAACGTTCCGCGAACCAATCGCGTACCATCCCCGAGAAAATAAGCGAGGACGTTAAAAAGGACGCCGATCGTCGCGATGGCTTGAAACGATGCCAATAGCTTTCGCCGATTCACGCCGCGGGTTCACGCGTCTCTACTCGTGTGTTTGTAGGTGTACGCTCGCAAGCGCGCGCGCGCGCGATCGCAAGCTCCCACAGTGCCACCCTTGTGCACGTGTAAACGACTCGGAGGTTGCGACCGCCGCGGCTCGCGGTTTGAGGTCCACCGGATTATTAAACGCCTGCGAGACGACCGTTTGCGGACTCCGCGACGCTTTTGTTCACCGCCCACTCTGACCCCCCGTTCGGATGAGGATGTTTGAGGAACCGGAGTGATCTCGATAGGGACTTACTCGACTTGGACCTAGGTTCCCTCGGTCCGTCCACCGTGACCTTGATGGCCTTCGTGTAGGTGGCGACTTGGAATGGTACCGTGCTGATCTGAATGGTCAGCGAGAACGACTTTCCTGTAAATGAAACAAAACGTTTCTGGATTAGTTCCTCCGATCGGTATCGCGATCGTTTTAAAGGTAGTTCCATCAACGTGTCAGACACTGACCTCTCCCGCTACGACCGACGAATCTGAGGTCGTTGAACTTGGCGACCTGGTTCTTCATGACTGCCGTGCAATTCCTCAGCTCGCCGCAACAGTTCTCGTCGTTCCCGGCGCGTATGGTGACCAGGGTACCGTCGGTGACGTCGTCGAGCGCTACCACCTTGAACGCGACCGGTAGCGACTTGTTCGACCGCCAATGTGACGGCAACGCGCTGCACAGGATGGCGGGACTTCCGGTCTTCACGAGGTCGCCGTGACAGGCCTGCAACGTCTCGTGTATCGCGTTGAAGCTGTCCATTCCCATCGGTCCTGCCGGCAGATGCATGGTTTCTTCGCTATCGTGTCCGTGGTCCACCGATGAAGCAACAGTCCGCGTGAAATGGTTAATCCTCAGTAACACCAAGATCGCTTTATCCTCTGCGCACACGGTTCCGTGGTCCCGGATCACTGTCTTCCTCAACTGCACTGTGCGTCGCGCCTCGGTAGCGTCCCGAAGCGAACCACCGAACGTAAACAAAAAAAAAATCGACCTGCACACGTTTCGACGACAACGGTTTCCGAGTTCCTCGGGGTGAGAGTCCTGCTGCTCGCACTTCGAATCCAAAACAAAAAAAAACCTTTTTACCGAAAATTTGTATACCGAACCGACGCGCACTCGATGCCGGCTGAGCGGATTCTAGTTTTTCGCGGCCGCAGCCGCAGCTATTTAGAGGGGATTTTTCTCCCCTCCAATTTTTCCGGAGCCCCACCCAGACCAGCGCGTCGACCAATGAGGACGGCGGTCGTGTTGTGGCCTCCGCGGCTCGCCGCCTTCGCCCCTAACCAGGCTTAGGGGGTGCCTTGCGAAAGGGGCTGCCAGCCTGCTGCCTCTCTTGCCCGAGGGTGGCTTGCGCCTCCGCTCTTTCTTACCGGTCCCGTCTTCCCTCTCTCGTCAAACATCCCACTCTACCACTCTCTCTCTCTCCCTCTCTCTCTCCTTCTCACTCCTTCTCACTCTCTCCCTCTGGTTTACCAGTTCGTTGGTCGTCCCTCTCCGTTCTGCTGGTAGACCCGTTTCGGTTGCGTTCCTCGCCGTCTCCCTCTATTCTCCGTCCCGTCTCGTTCTTGCCGCGCCACGCTTACGTGACGACGTGAATTTCACGCGCACGTGTTCACCCCATCCCTACCCCCGCAGCCACGCTCCTCCGTCGGACGGTGCACGCGTTTCTTGACCTCCACGGTACTCCGCGTCGGAGGACGTTCGACTGATGGTCGCCCCGACGACCCCTGAGTACGCGGGGAACCGACGCGACGCCCATCCACAGCATCTTCGAAACCGTTATGTATACTTCGAAATTCTTCAAGAATATTTTTCTAAGATGCACTATGTTTTTCAGACCTAAAGTCTATTTGGTAATTAGAGTCCATTTTATCACGGTGATTAGATTTACCGCGTTCTTCATTGATTTTTTTCAAAAAAAATTTATTCCTCTACAAAGTAACATTGTAAATGTCTTACAACATATAATAAATGTAAAATTTCGAGTATATAGCGTAAAATGAAATTTAGAATACACTCGTCTATCATATTTAAATAGAACGATATTAAAAAACTGTTTAACGAGGGAAATAACTTTTAAATATAATTCACAAATATAATTCTTCTTGTTTTAAATTTTTAATTTGGTATTTTATAAGTAAATACCGATCGTTACATAGCACTCGTAAACGTGCCATGAATGAAAATTTGGACAACTCTGTCTACCAAGAACTGAAAAGTGTAACTCAAAAAATATAAAAACGCAATTATTATAATTATTTTTAGATGAATTCTAAATTACTTAAATGCCCGAGTATAGGTAGTTGCTCTTTATTATCATCATTAGCATGGTTCTTCATTGTTAATCGTTTCTCCCTGTGTTATAAAAGTGGATATCGATTGTTCTCGCGCAATAGGTGGAGAACATAATAACAATAAAACTTCGAAAAGCAATTTAGGTTAAAACTAGATAATGTATTCTGGCTGACACAAGCATCGAGAAACTGTCGCAAACCACGCGTCAGAATCTGCCGGAATCGTTCGCTAACACTGCTCAAGTATAATTACTATAGTGACAGTCTATAGTACTCTATACTTTCAAGATGATGCAATTGTACAAAATTCATTTTCTTATTTTTATTTTGCCTACATCAAGCCTTTCGTACCCTAATTTTGGCATTAAAATGTTGAACAGTAATATAAAAAATAATATTATGAGAATTTAAAGTACAAAATCATATTAATTTTCGAGATGTATAATTCAGTCATTAATAGAAAATTCACAAGAAACAATAAGTTAAATATTATGCAGAAAAATTAACTTTTTTTTGAACTATTCATTTTTACAATAATTTTACACTTTTTAAATATCATTTCATAGAGTTTTGATTAAAAATATAGTATATATCTCTGTGTCCATTGCAGGAATATTGACCGTAATAATGTACCTGTTCAGAATTGTGTGATCCACCCACCCAATTAGTATGTCCATATAGAATTAAAAATTCAATTTACGATTTATTTTTCAAATCCGTCCAGCTAAAATTGTATCTTTGATCACGTTCGATTCATATATTAACTTAATAATAACGTTTATATTTAATTTCGAACTATTAATTGGCTTCCTTAAAGGTGACGTTAAGAAGTTCCCGTTGCAGGTAGCTGGGGTTTTCACGCACCTTTTGCACGGAACGATAATAAAGACATTAGTCTTTTTTTACGATCATCTTTTCACTGGAGTAATTTTGAAATGCTCGTGAACGTTGAAAAATCGATTTAACCAGGCAAAAGCGGTGCAATCTTATTCCCATTCGATAATACAATTATTGCTTTGTTTCATACGTCGTTAGCAGTTCCGGATACCTGGGTTTCAACCCGAAATGAGTTCGTGTATATTGGTTCTGCTGTTCCGAATTTTTTGCGGCCTCTCACTTACGCAGAAATTTAATTTTTAACATAATTTCATTTTTCGATACGGGTAATAAAAGGTAGAAAGGAAGTACACACAAATATTGGAGGGTAAAAAATATTATGCACGAGTGTTAAGAAACATAAGTTGCAAAATTTATTAAAACACAGTTCGAACAATCGTATTTTTTGCAAAACAATTCGTCAAAAATTAGTTTGAATTAATAGATAAATATAATTATACGAATTGTTTAAAAATTAATTACCCTTGGAAAAATTTGTCCCCCCAAATATTCAAACGTTCTGCATATTGAACGTAGTATTTAAGGTACAGGTGATCGTGAAATGAATTAACTCTAATTTGAGTCTATAAATTCATTCATGTTGTCAGAATAGTAAAATACAACCTTCGTTACTTTTTCTTACGTCATCGTGTTCTTACGTCATAAGGACATAGACAATGAGGTATAAGGACCTATTATTATTGTTGCCTCTATTGTGCGGTTAATGGTCGATTTAACACAAATCTAGTAAGTTCCTCGGATTTGCTCGGTGTATATTGTCCTTCTTCACAATATTTAGACAGGCATTCATGAGATTTCTCCAAGGGGGGTCCTAATTCTGCAACTTCGATTACAGAAATTCTTACAAACGTTCACGCTACCGTTCATTCAGGGAAACTCGTTCCACGAAAACGCTAGAAAATGAGAATAATTCGAAAAAATTACAAATTATTTACTGATTGCTTATAACTTATACCAAAGCTATAAAATCCACCCCTACGTTATCACTACGATTGTTCCAGGTACACTAAATTCGATCAGTATTGAATTTCTGCATAAAATTAATTATGTCTCTATATCACAAGCTTTTATATTTAAAAAAATTATTTTTTGATTATTGTATTTCATTCGAAACATGAATTTCTATTGCCCTGAAAATACCAGTCAATCGAAAAATAGTGACCAGGGGACAAAACAAAAAAAATGTAGAAGAAATGCGATAAGTTTCTAAATTATTTTACGAGTTTCCAAAAAGAATTCTAGGAAACAGGGAGTAATTTATTACCTTCGCGTGAATTTTTCTTCTCAAATATTTTTAAATCCTCGACGTTTCGATGAAAATTAATTGAAACATAATTCCAAAAAATCACCAGCAATTTTGTCAGAATTTGCTTCCTACACCGAATCGATTAAGCTCCTATTGCTAGAACTATTATCCATTTCTCAACAAATTATAGAAAGTAATTTTACCTTCATCGTACTAACCCTATTTCTTAAAATTATAAAATATTGAAATTCAAACCGTAACTCTAACCAAATGCAAAAAGATTAATGTAAGATTCTGAGTAATAGGTTTTTAGAAATTTTTTTTTAGAAAATGCTGTTAAGAATGTGTTGCATTAATGGGCCAAGTAATTTATCGAATTATTAGGATGGACGCTCGGGGGGTCCCAATATTTAGACAGAAATTTGTGCGGCATCCTCGTGGGGGTCTGCCTGGAGGGCCACAGCCGGAACATCGAGGGAGAGGAAGAGAGACGGAGCTCGTCGAGAGATTTATTGGTGTGTCTAGGCTCATTTCACCGATTTTCGCGCAAAAGAGGCGCGTCGATTCAGTCCTTTTCGCCGGAGACTCGAAAGGACAGGTCGTAAAGGTCGACGCTGGCCGTGCACGAAATTCGAATCGATCTTGACGGAATCCCAACCCTTTGACTTTCTGGGTCAGCGTGTCGTTCACGGGGCTTTCCTGCGAGATTTACAACGAAATTGCACTCGCACACTTTGCCACCCCTTTTTCGACCCGGCGCGCCGGCAAAAGAGGAAGGGTTTAACGAGGCAAGATTAAATTTCCGGATCGTGCGATTTCTCCGCGCGCGTTACCATGTGTTTCCGGACGCGCGTTGTTTCGATCGATGGAAAAGAATAAAATATTCCAAGTGTACCATCCATAAATCCCTAAGACGTTAACGTAGGAACGTACATTTTAGTATTACGTATAACTCTTTATGAATTTGCCAGTTGTAAAATACGAGACTAGAAGTTCGCTGACTCGGTACATTTTTATATGATTTTTAAAGGAAGATCTTTAAAACTGGTGTTTCGAATGCCTCAATTGTCGAAATGATTTTTAACAAAAGTTCCACGAAGTCTAAGTATTTATATATAATTTTGAGACAAATTAAACTTTATATATTGTAATGTGCTATGCACAAAAGAAACATAGAATACAAATTTTTCTAGGAAAGTTAGTCAGGAATCAGTTAGAAACATATTTATAAAAAATTAGATCTAGATGACCTCAATTTCTCTTGACAAATCTATCAGTTTTTGTAAACACAAATCTTTATATTTTTTACAAAATATAAGATACAAAATAGAGGCTACAAGATGTTCAAC